TTTTTCTTCGTCTAGGTTCTTTTTTTTTTATTTTTGTCCTTTTTTTCTTTTCTTCCTGTTCATTGGTTTCATCCCCGCTTCTCCTCTCACTTTTCCCATTCCGGTTCTCTCTCTCTCTTTTTTTTTTTTCTTTCTCTGCACCTCCTTTCTTTTTCTTCTGCTTTCCCCACCCCTTGCACCGTCTCGTCGCCAAAGCTTGAAATTGGGCACGCTCGCTACTACCCTCACGGAGGCAAGTTCCACAGGGCTTCTTCCCGCTGCCCACACACGAAGGAGTAATTCCAGTCGCAGCGTACATAGTAGGCGCGGGCGGCGAAGCACAGTGGGACGGCCACAGCCATAAACTTTAATTAGCAAAAACGATTTTCAGCAGATTGGGATTAAAAAAACAGGCAAACAAGTAAATACATAAAAGGAGGAGGAGGAGGAGGAGGAGGGCAGCTGACTCATTCTGGTCGTCATCCTTACTGTGTGTGTGTGTGTGTGTAGGGGTAGAGTTAGGGGGTTGTCATGCAGGAGTTAATTGCCGTTCGTGTGAAGGATGGTATTTTCGTCGGCAATGCGATTGCCGCACAGGACCTCGACTTCATCGAGATGAACAAAATCACGCACATCATCAACTGTGCTGGTGGGGAGCTGCCCGACCTTTTTGCGCACGAAGGGGTGAAGTACCTCACCTTCCCGTGGAGGGACACCACGGGCTCTATTTGCACCGCCGTGATGTTTGATAGCGCCGATGAGAATATTGAACGCACGGTGCGCTTTATAGATGAGGCGCTTGAGTCCGGCCACTGTGTGTTGGTGCACAGCCACTTTGGTTTGTCACGCAGCCCGGCGCTGATAGCGGCGTACTTCATCGTGAAATACGGCTGGAAGCTTGACAACGCCCTTGCCTTTCTGGAGATGGCCCACAAGGATATGTGCATCCGGCCACACTTCCTGCGGCAGCTGCGTATGTTTGCCAAGCGTAATTGCGTAGATCACGACGTTTTTGACCCGGACGTGGACGACTCTCAGTTTGGCCTAGACAATGATCAGTGGATGCTGCGCAACACCTTGCTTAATGGGCTAACCTTCGAGGTGCAGGGACACAATGGGTTGTACAGGCTGTGCACGAGCAAGGTAGAGCTGGGAAAACCGATGAAGCCGATTGAGGCGCGCAGGAAAACATCGGGGAGAAAGGACAGGCACATTGTGTTCATCGACACAAAGCAAGGAACCCACGTGGACTCAGAAGATGGCACCCCTGTTGTGAATGTACAGTCGTTGCAGCAGCTCGACTCAAGCAACCACTTCCTTGGGTTTCACGGCTCCGTGTCTTTGCGCAGCTGGCACGGCCGCGGTGGCATCATGAGCCGCAGCATTACCCCCTGCACCCGCCGTGCAGAGTCTGACCCACGCACCAATCCACGTGGCCGACAGGAGCTGGCGGTTCGCTCGGAGGCAAAAACGGGCCGCAGCACCTCCGCGCTGGACGGGACCAGTTCGACACTCACGGTGCGCACGGCGAGTGGGCACTCCGTGTTGGAGGGCGGGGCTCTTGCGGGGGCCGAGACCCGCCACATCGCGCCACCCAACACGATTCACGCCCCGGGACGCTCACCCTTCGCGACACTCACCTCCAGCCACAAATACCGTAAGGGCTCGCCGCTCCCGGCGCCGACGCATGACGCGAAGCCGTCTCATCCTGTCCAACGCCCCTCCTCTGCGCCGGTGGCTGAGAATAATTCTTCTAGATTGCGAGTTGCCGCTAGCCTGGGGGCCGCACGGGTGGCTCGCAGCACCTTGATGCGTACCGATAGTCCAACCGCACTTGGCGGAAGCGCCTCCTCCGCGCCCCCTGCAACCTCGGCGCGGGCGTCGAGCTACAGGAACATTGCCCCGCATCGCTCGCAGCCTAGTCGTGGGGTGGTGTCTGCGTGGGAGGGCAGCAAAACGGGGGAGCCGCCTGCTGTGGTGCAGCGATCTTTGCTCCGCAGCAGTCCGCAGGGTTCCCGCCTCAGTTCTCCTGCGGGCCGGCCAAACTCTGCAAGTGTGCGGGTTGCCTCTCCTAGCGGGGCAACATTGGGGTCGCACGGCAGCCGCAGTGCAAACGGAGGAAGTAGCGCTACAAAGACTGGAGGGAGTGGCATCGTGCGTCGCCACTCACCGGTGGTGATCTCGTCAGTCAGACGCCGTTAGATGTATCCAGTTTTATGTTTTACTCGTTTGTATTCAACATCGCCTCTTGCTTACTCTTCGCCGTGGATCTGTGGGTGCGCCGAGAATCGCTGTAATTGTGTTCTCTCTGCTAGTACGACATTTGCAATGAAACGATGCTGCGGGATAAGGGGGAGGAGAGGGAAGGCCAGGGACGCAAGAGCAGCAAGATGTGAAATGCAGATGCTGAAGAAGTACACGCTTTTACCACTTTTTTTTTCTCCCTTCCACCTCTTCATCCCGCTTATCTCGTTGCGCCGTTGTGCGCGCCGTTATACGGCTCGTCCCCCTTCTCCCTTTCATTGCTCACCCGGGCCCGGCTTTCCGCCCACCTGCCCTTTGCATCCTGGTCGCATTCCCTTTCCTCTGGGCGGGGGCGAGGAGCCGTGTCTCTCCTCCCCCTTTCCTTTTCGCCCCCGGCTGGAGAGGGCGTCGTGCGTGCGCGCCTGCGCCGCCGCGTCGTGGGAGCGTGGCGGGAACAGAGACATCCTCGGCCGCCGTGGGGAGGCAGGGCTGCGGGGGCGTGTTTGGCGTGCGGGAGCGGAGGCGGGAGGGGGCAGGTTTCATTTTTCTTCCTCTCGAGACGCACCTTTTCAAACGGAACGAAGGAGCCTCCCCTGTAATAAGTGGAAGCAAGACGGGTGGGGGTGGGGGGTAACGAAGAACTAAAAAGTGGAAAAGGGAACGAAGGCAAAGTGAAGATCGGAGCAAGAGCTTATGTGGCCAACCAGCCGAGCGCGTGGTCTGGGCGAAGGCGGCGAAAAAGAAAGCGAAGGACGCCCACAGGCGGAAACACGAGGCACCGCTAACTTCCTCTTCACCTCCTTAAAAAAACACACACATACACAGAGAGAGAAGGCAAAACGTATGGGCGGGGAAGGAGCGAACGTAAAAAAGTACTGGATAGAGTGTGTGGCAGTGAACTTGATGAAGCCCAACGTCTGCAGGAGTTGTTGTACCTGTTATTGTTTGCTTTTTCCTCTGTCCCTTTTTGGATGACATCCTCTCTCTCTTTTCCCCTCGTTTTCTCCGTGCCGCCGTGTATAATCCGTCAACTTCACTGCCTTCTGTGCAACACGCCGACCGTCCTTGGGCTTGTAACGCGTGGACGTCTCACTTTTCTTCCCTGCCACGGTGCCTCGCTTTCCCTTCCCTCTGTTTTTTTTTTCTTTTTTCTGGCCCCCCTTACGGCCACTACACTCTTGCTAGCGTCCGTCCACTCCGGCTCATTGAAGCCAATAATGCCGAAGGGGACACGTCGTGTTTGATGACGAGGGGGAAGTCTTCGAGGACGATCCGACGGTGGGCCGCGGCGTGCCGAGGGACGAGGCGGGGCAGATTGAGTGGCAGCCAATCGCCCCCGCGGCATTGACAGCGGCGCTGAAGGCGGTCGTGGAGGCCGCGTTGGCCGACCTTCCCAAACCGGCGTGATGATGCAGAAAGAGGGAGGTATTCGTTGGTTAGTGCTGCCGTTGCTGCTCCTGGCGGAAAGGCGCTGGATGTGGATGCGGCGGCCGTGTTGTTCCCATACCTGGAGCGCTCTCCACTGTCTTCTGTACTTCGTTGTCGCACTAAGGCAGCACGCTACCTTGAATACATGCATTGTATATGTATCTATTGTTTGTATCGCCACTTCCGCTCTCTTCTTGCTCGCCCTCTTTCTCTCTGGCTTTGCTCCGCACGCGTGCAAAGCAGTGGGGCGTCAACGCTCCCTCCCGCTTCTCACATACACACATAAACAAATAATTAATCGGACGCCGATTGCCTTACCCGCGACGCGACACGCCTTGAGAAGAAAGTGACGCAAAGAGCGGGGAGGGTGCACAATGTCGTACAACCTTAGAAAACTGAAGCTTATCGTGGATGACCCGAGCGGCACCCTGCGGGATAACCTGCGGATCGCCGAGGCCTTCTTCGCCGCCGAGGATGATAGGGAGGTGGAGGAGTTCCGCGGCTTGATGGATGCTGAGGTGCACTACGCCAACTTTTGGGGCGTGGCGCGGGGCCGCCATGCCGCCCTTGCCGTGTTTGACAGCGAGCGGTCCGCATTGCGGCTCACATGGCCATCGCGGGTGACGGCAATCACAGCCAACACCTTCGAGAGGCGCGGCTACGTGCACTTCCTCTCGGGCGGCGTGGCTTCGATCCCGGGCGTTGGCGGCTGGCTGACGCGGTTTACGCAACGCCGCGTGCGAGAGTCCTTGGTGGTGAAGGACGGGAATGTCAAATTTCGCGATCTGAGCCTTGAGTGGGGCCTTGCCGTTCATTGAGGGCTAGCATTGACGCTCCGTGGGTGAAGGCGGAGGAGAGAATTGCCGTGGCACGCTTGTCGATGCTTTCCCTGCGTCCAGTGTTAGGGGTTCAACGGCTACCGCCTCTACAGCTCACCGGAACGAACACGCCTAGCAGCGGCTGCTGGGTGAGCACCGCCTGTATCTGACTTGCGTCGTGGGAGTTGGCAGCGGAGGCCAACATGCCTGGCAAACGTTGTATCGTTTTGGCAACTGAGTGCTCTCCCGCCGTCGCCCTCGCCCTCGCGGAGCGGGCAGGGCCAAGAACGTCGCCATTGAAGTGGGGGGTGCCTGGTTTGTGGGGCTGGTGGGAAGAGAGTCAAGTAAGCGGCATGGAGGCCGCTGCTTCAGTTGCGTTGTCGACCCACCGTTGGGGTGAAACGGCTGTGTGCAACTGAAATGGGGACAGTGCTGTCAATGCTGCGGCTTTTTCTGCTCCTTTCCATGTTGGCACTTGTGCGCCTCTTTTTTTTTTTTGTTCGCCCTGCCTACCATCTTTTCCTCCTCTTTAGAGTTGTTGTGCGCTTTTTTGCCTTTGTTGTTTATTTTTGTAGTACGCTACCCTAGGCGCGGCTATTGGTGGTGGTGGGCCGTTGTGACTTGTCTTCCTCTGCGGAGCTCCCTGGCGGGGCCGGCAGGGGCGATGCGGCACACGCGAAGGCACTTCGTCGAGGCCGGCAGGGGCGATGCGCCCGCGGGGGACGTGGAGCGGGAGGTGCAGGACGCCGCCAGCCGCAAGGATGTGCGCACGCTTCTCCCCCTCACCCCCGGGGGCGTTAAGTTCCTCTCCAGGCGGTACCCGCCGGTGAGGGACGCTGCCGACCTCGACACACTTGCGGAGCGGCTTGCAGGTTTGGGCCACCGCGGGGAATTTGGCTTTTCGCCTCTGTTTTGCCCCCGCCTGATCGATGCGGCGTGCCAGCGGGGCATTTTCCCCATGGCGATCCTAGTGCAAGACAGCCACCACCTATTCGCTCCCAAACTGCACCATCAGCGCTGTCTGACGCAGCTGCGGCCACCTGTCAAGGGCCTTCCTGTGAGCAGCGACGACAGCGAGGGAAAGTTTGCGGCGGGGCTGCTGCAGGTGTCTAAAAAATATTTATCGGCCCGCAACGAAAACACCCGCGCGAGGTCGTTTGATGTCTATATCAACCGCAAGGAGGATATCGCCCCCGCGCTCTCGCTTATTGTGGCCCAGCACGGCGAAAGCTGGATGTGCCGTGCCCTTCGTGCCTGCCTTGCCCACATGTTCTTCAACCAGGACAGTTATCGCACCAAAGTCGTCGTCGTCGCCGTCCGCCGTCATCGCTACCCGTCCGACTCCGGCGGGAGCGCAGGCAGTAGCCACGAACCGGTGTGCAGCTTCGCCGAGGGGGACCCGGTAAACGAAGGCGATCTCGTTGCTGCCGAGGTTGGCTTTATTGCCGGGGACATTTACTGCTCCATGACGGGGGCGTACAGCTGCAGCGGCTCTGGGACGCTGCAGCTGGCGGTCACCGGAGAGGCGATGCGGATCGCCGGCTGCAGCGTCTGGGACCTGGGGATGGATATGGCGTACAAGCGTGAGGTGCTGCGCTGTGAGCCGCTGCCGCGTGAGCACTGGCTGTTGTTTGTGCGGGAACACGTGGCGGACGCGGCTGTCGCGGAGGCCATTGAAAGGCGTTTGCGGGAGCAATTTAGCGAGGGTGTGCCGGTGCGACTGCTTCTTTCACATACTTCCCGTTGAAGTCAGTTCGGAGTATTCAACAATCAACAGGAGTTGCACCACGTGTTCGTTGCTTGAGCACAAGTACTGTCTTTGCGCGGGTTGTCCCATGTAGTGTGCGGGGCAAACTTTTGCGGCTGCTGCTGTTGTTGTTGCCGGTGAAATTCTTGCCAACATTGGCGCCATTCCCGATGGGTGGGGACCCGCGGGGGGAGTTCTTCCCTCCTCTTCGCACGCCCTCTCTTTTTTTTTTTTACTTTTCCTTTTCTTTTTTACCTGTGTCCTGCACACACACCCGCCCGTCTGCACTGTGCTGCGGCGCCGAACACGCCCCTGCGCAAGAGAAAGAGCATGCCCGCCGTGAAGAAAGAGGCTCCCAAGGCAGAGGCCCCCGCGCCGCGGACGGGCATCATCGCCGGCTTCAACAAGGGCCACAAGACCACCCGCCGCGCCCGCGCCCCGTCCTCGAACGACCGCTACGCCCTTCCGCACAAGAAGCTGCGCGCGGTGAAGGCGATCATCACGGACCTCGTCGGCCTCTCGCCCATGGAGAAGCGCGTGCAGGAGCTGCTGCGCGTCGGCAAGGACAAGCGTGCCCTCAAGTTCTGCAAGAAGCGCCTTGGCAACTTCAAGGCCGCCAAGAAGCGGCGCGCCAAGA